CAGAGCTGGCCCCAGCAGCTCCCCTCGGCTCAGACGCTGTCTTGTGCCGCGCGCCTGGGTGTTGGTTGTCAGCCACGCAGACCTGGACGCCATCAGGAAGGTTGCTGAGAAGAGATTCCCAATCCAGGTCGGCAATGATGGGCACGCGGAAGTGAGCCCCCATGCCTCCACGGAGCACCTTTGGCTCCCACGGATCCACACAGCCTGGGGTGGAAGGGAGGAAAACAGCGACAGTGTGGCAGATCTGACAAAAACCCAGATTCAGTAGGTGCTGCTCACAGCAAACCACGTCTGTGCCGCGCACTCCTTCCAAACTCTTGGGGACGCCTTCAAGCACCTCTTATTCCCTGCCCTTCAAATCACTCAGATTAAACTTTTCCCCTCTAGGGAAAGGCTCTTACCTTTGGTGAGCAGCACCTTCTCACAGCCCGCTCCTGCTGCAGATCTCAGAATAGTGCCCAGGTTTCCCGGATCTCGGATGTTGTCGCAGATGAGGAACAGCGGCAAGGAGCTGGTTAGCTGAGCCGCAGGGTAAGACATCTTGGCATGGTCGGGCTTGGAAAAGATCCCTGAGGAGACAAAGTACTGACATGCTTCTGACTAACACAGCCCAGGAGGAGGCTGCCTCTCAGCTACGTTGGCCCAAATGTCACTGAAGAGGCGCATTAGGAAAAGCACTGCTTAAGAAAAGTTTGAGAAGTTTGTCACTTGACAAGGAGAGCTGGAGCAATGTGCTAAAAATGAACGTTACCACCTTCAGTGTACTCTAGGAGCCACAGTTACCGCAGCAGGCTAATTAAAAGGGAATTCTCTCATTAAGCCATTCTTGACACACTGCCAGCATGTCTAGGGGAAGGTTATGAAGAGGGAGTCATTATCCACTCATTAGGTGTGAAATAAGTTTCCCTTTGAGCCATGTTGTGACTGTTTCTAAGGCAACTTACCTATAAGGCCCTGAGGAGTTACGAGGTCAGACCAGATCTTAATGTCTTCAAATTTCACTTTAACCAAGTTGGCTCCTTTTAGTCCTGCCTCAGGCAGCTCCTTCAGGTGCCCCACAGTGCTGAAGAAGAGTGTCTGCAGCACAGCTCCTGCCTCCAGGGCATCCTTGATCAGCCTCTGACCCTCCAGCAGAACTTTCCTGTGATTATCCCGAAACTTCTTCGACTTGGCGATAGTCACCACTTTTCTGCGGAGGAGTTAATCAGGGAAAACAGCTGTGATGCTGCCAACACCATCACTCTGACGTCTGCCAGCCACTGAGAGCTTCACTGAGCTGTACCCCCGGTCTCTTTAGATCACAGAATGGTTTGAGTTGGAAGGGACCTGGAAGATCATCCAGTTTCAGCCCCTCTGCCATGGGCAGGGACACCTCCACTAGAGCAGATTGTTCAAAACCCCATCTAAGCTGACCTGGAAGGGAGGGGGCATCCACATTCCCTGGGCAACCTATACCAGGGTCTCACCACCCTCATAGTAAAAAATTTCTTCCTAACGTGTCTACCCTGCTCTAGTTTAAAACCTTTCTCCTTGTCCTAATGCTACACACCCTTGTAAAAAAATCCCTGCCCAACTTTGCTGTAGCCCCTTCAGGCACTGGAAGGCCCCTATAAGGTCTCCCTAGAGCATCCACCAGGCTGAAGAGCCCCAACTCCCTCAGCCTCTCCTGGTCGCAGAGGTTCTCCGCCCTCTGACCATCTTTGTGTACCTCCCCTGGACCGGCTCCGAGAGGTCCATAGCCTTGTGCTGGGGGCTCCAGAGCTGGGTGCAGCACTCCAGGT